GAAGAATTCATGCACTTTCCGTCGAAGTCCTTCTTTAAAATGATATTCTATTTGAAATTTTGGTTTCCATGGAGCATTACGTGGCATTTGAAAACTACCACATTTCTCTTCTTTAATAACTCTGTAAATCGTAGATTTCCCAACACCAAGTGTACTGCTAACTAACTCAACGGTCTCATCAACACTTTCACATAAACGTTTGTCTGTAAATGATTTAAAACAATTAAATATTAATGTTTTTTCATTAACTGTTAAAGGACCAATTTTTCGGCGTTTACACGGCACTTCCAAATTTTCCATAACACTAGTATACACAATAAACTGCACCTTGCAACTGAAGTACCTACTTTTAGTGAACTGTTAAGAATTTTGAATACGCCACTTGGACCTTCCTACAAAATGGAAAAACCCACTATCACATTTTCTGTGGAATAAGTTTAGAAGGTAATTATCTAGTCAATTACTGTCGTAGATTCCTGGAATTAAAGAATTAAATGTTTGATTGTTGAAACCCTTACTTCGTGGAATGCACTCATTTCAGATAAAATAAAACGTTTTATTTTATCTAAATAATTAAACTTTATTTTGCAAATAGGTAGGTACTTATTAAACTTTTATTGGTTATATATAACCAATAAAATAAACATCTTACATTTCTTGCAAATTCATTAGTACCTGTTAACCTCCATCACTCCGACACTGGCAACCTTATTTAGGGATTAGTAACCCTCACAAGTATTGTATTCTATTCTGCTCCAACCTTTATACCTGGTGGTCATACTCAATTTAAAATTGTTTTCCTATATACTTCTGTAAACTTGTTGACAAATATCTGTTTTTCATTGAGTCACCCGTATCAACAGTTTAGGGATTTGCATACATAATTTATTGTTTTATTACTCTCTCATACATAAAAATACACTATAGTGTTTATATTTGTTAATTAATTTTCTCAAAACTATCTAAAATGATTTACTACAGTCTTCATTGCATGAGTCGATATGAACTAAGTGGTATGTATTAATATTATCGCATATAAAGTATGAACATTATTACAAAGAATATAATAAGATGTAATAGCATATTGTTTTTACAATATGCTTATCCAATTCTTATTTAGTTTAGAGTATCGTCATTCCCATGAAATGTTTAACCTTTGCACCAACTTTGAAGCTTAAAGTGATCTCGTGATCATTGTCACGATTTATTTAACCGATGTCCTCAAAACCATAATTGGCGTTTGCTGTAATAAGCGACTCTTTGCATACACAACTATGCCGAGTTTAAACAGTAGCAAGGCATTTTCTAAACATATACTTACAAAAAAAAAACACAAGAGGGTTACGAAGAAATGAGTCGTGTTACTCATTAAGTCGTGATGTGGAGAGGCTGTTAAAAATAAAAATCTTACACTATAATTTACAATCTATTGACTTTTGAAAATGTGCATAAAAAAGATATAATTGGTACGTTATAAAATCATTAGATTCAACCTGGACAATTTGGGACCGCTCTGTATATGACAGACTGAAGTAGATTTTACTTATAAAATAAGAGCACTCAAATTCTGAACGTGGTGGATCGAATATGTATTGCAATTCCTTATAAATATACGAGGCTGATCTATAAATAGCTTGAAATAAAAACATTGTGGTGTGCATTTGAGAATAAATTACATTACACAAAGGCAGAGCAAGGTTAAATGAATATCCTTCGACTAGCTCGAACGTCTTCTTTTTAAGAAACTTACAAATCTTTCTAATTTGTATTATTTATTTTTTGTTTTCATTTCCTGTCTATTTGCGATTTGCATTATTAGTACTATAATAAGTCAATTGTTGTTAAATAATGATATGCAGGAAATGCCCCAGATGTAGTTACCAATATTACATATCGTAACTAACACTGAATTAATTATATGACATTGAGGATGATTACAAATCGCATTAAGTTTAAAACGTATTGATTAAATATACAGTTTTCCGTATACAGTGTAACTTTTTGTCAGTATTATTCAAGTAGCTTTTCTGGCATTCGTCTAATATTTCTACATTGTTGTTTATTTAACGTATAAGTAATAGACTAAAGCTAAGCGGTATATAATATATATATATATATATATATATATATATATATATATATATATATATATATATATATATAACAAAAAAAAACAGAAGAGCCAGAAGAACAAGAAATCAAGAGGGCAAAAAACTGCTAATGTGCTAAATAGGGAAGTCAGAAAACAACTAGAAGAATATAGAAATGAAGGCTGGGACAACTATATCCAACAATCAAAACCAAACAAATCTGCGTTCTGGAAGCTTTCAAAAGTACTAAGAAAAGAAAAAAAAAACAATTTCACCCTTGCATGGAGAAAATGGTATTGTGTACATAGAAGATTAAGCTGAAGTAATGAAAAACACGCTTGAAGGAGGATGTAACAATAACTATCATCCCGATGGAGATCTAGAATTCACAGAAGTGAAAGGATGATATAGAATACAAAAAGAAGGGGCAACATAGGTATTACACACACCTCCCCTGAATAAGTCATACAATCGATCAAACTTACCAAGGCCAAAAAAAGCACCAGCATCAGATACCATTACGAAAAGAGCCATGAAAAATCTGCCAGCAAAATTAATAGTATACTTTAACAAATTTAATCAAAAACAACCTGAAATTAAGACATTTTCCTAAGACATGGAAAGAAGCTGACGTAATAATGATAGGAAAACTAGGGAAAAACGGCACATTTTCACAGAGGCTACAGAGCATTAAAACGGTAATAGAAAAGAGTATCGAATACAATCGACAACTCGTTCTGGCATTTGTAGATTTCCATAAAGGCTTTGACACGGTAGAATTTGACAAAATCTTTTAAGCACTACAAGCATGCCGTATTGACTACCGATATACAAGGTTAATTTACAATACATACAAGAGCGCAACTATGTCGGTGAAATTACATGAAAACACGGATCATATCCCAATCGGCAGAAGTCTAACAGGGTGATACCTTATCGCCTAAACTGTTTACCGCAGTACTAGAATATGCTTGTAAAAAACTTAACTAAGAAGAGAAAGGCCTGAACATTGATGGTAGAAGATTAACAAATTTGAAATTCACAGACGACATAGTTTTGTTCTCGGAGAACCTCAAGGAGATATGTACAATGCTACAGGCATACATGCATGCATATTTAGTTAATGTGTGCCACTGTGGGTCTTAAAATAAACATCTAAAAAACAAAATTCATGACAAACCTACTACCTAGCGGAAATATCAATATTGGAGAAAACGTAGTAGAGCTGGTGGAAAAATACATATATCTCGGGCACGAAATAAAGATCACAAGAGACAACCAAACATGCGAACTACGAAGAAGAATAAACCTAGCATGGGCAGCCTATGAAAAACTCAAAGACATCTTTAAAACCAATACACCAATTTCTTTAAAACGTAAAACATTTGACCAATGTGTGTTGCCTGTGATGACCTATGTTGCCAAAACTTTGACATTGATACCTACTACCTACAAGTTCTAAAACGCTGCAAATAGCTCAAAGGAAAATGGAAAGGTCAATGCTGAGTATATCGCTTCGTGACCGAGTTAGAAATGAAGACTTAAGACGAAGAACAGGAGTTACCGATGTAATTTCCCCAATTGCCACACTGAAATGGAACTGGGCCGGACACGTCGCCCGAATCAGTGATGAAAGGTGGACGAAGAGATTGCTTGAGTGGAGGCCAAGGTTAGACAAAAGAAATAGAGGAAGATCCCCTACTCGTTGGACTGACGATCTCAAGAAAATGTCAAGAAATTGGATAAAAAGTGTTCAAGATTGACACATTGACTTGACATTGATCACAATTGACAAAAATGGAGGAGGTCTATGTCCAGCAGTGGACGCAAAGGGCTGTGTGATTGATTGGTTGATTGACTCATGTGAACTGTGCTGCGATTAGCTGAATATATTACGAAAGGGTTCATTGAAAAGATTTATACAGCAGCTGTCTCTCGATGTCAGAAAAGCTTTTGATAGAGTTTAACACAAAGGCTTGCTGTATAAAATGAACCAATATGGGTACAGTGAGGAAGACATGTGTATTTTCGTCCCACTTAGCCAATATGAGGTCCAGCGTTCGAATAGGGCCAACCTTATCCGAAATTGGGAGAAATAGAGGCAGAGTACCACAGAGGACGGTATTGTCGCCATATATATATATATATATATATATATATATATATATATATATATATATATATATATATATTATATATATATATATATATATATATAAAATATATATATATATATATATATATATATATATATATATACCCCATATATTCGGTAGACACTCCAACCATACCCATATCGTTGCTAAGCCTATACGCAAACGATACAGCGATGACTGCTAGCAGTATCAAGCCAGATCTAGCAACGAGACCCCTGCAAAGGGCACTAAACCAACTACAAAAATGATGCGCACAGTGGAAGATAGCTGTCAACCCTGACAAAAAAAACTCATGCCGTCATGTACCAAAACAGAAAAGGTCGACCAAATGAGGTACTATCCCTATTTGATACTCTAAGCGAATGGTTAAACCAAGCCACATATATAGGAATAACGTTGGACAAAAAGCTGACCTTCACAGAACACGTGAAAAAAAAACGGTCAATAGAGGCTAAAATACTCATAATTATTAAAAATATATCACTTAGGTTAAATATATTAACTGATATTAAACAGAAAATAGCCACAACACTAGACGTTTTTTTTATTACATACAAGCCTCATGCTTTTAAAAACTGTTTGGTTATATGGTAAAAAAAATTGTAATTAAATTAATAATATTAAATTATTTTGCAGTCTTCCGTGTCAAGATTTATATTTAATAGTATTATACACATAAACCAGGCACTAAACATCGATTCTAGAAAAAATATTTTAAAAAATTAAACAGAAGGATATGAAACACTGTATTTACCTGGCACATGTGTTGTTTGAGCCCATAGGTTTGTTTTTGTTTTTATTCCAATATATAATCGGTAGGTTTGGCATTCTTTTTTGTATGTCGTCGATGAGCATATCTTCCGATAAGTTTGGACTCTTGTCTATAAATGGTTCTAGATCATTACTCTCTGTTGTACTTTCAGCGTGTCTGGTAAGAGGATCCAGCCTCTTTTGTAATAGCAGCCTGAAATAGAGATTTTTTTAAAACTAGGTCTATTTAGCTAAAAAAAATAAATAAATAAAATAAATTCACTAGGTACAAGCACTATGTAAAAAACTGTCAAACTTATAAATTTTTAAGAAAAGTTGTCAATAAATGTTCTAGTGGCAATATGGCATAGGCACCTGATTTTGGATAAATGTATATGTCGTAGTTTCATCAGCTTTTTCGTTTTTTCATCAGAAGAGAATCAGCTTTTTAGGTAAGAAAGTGGTGAACCTTAATCGTTAGAACCTTTAAGCATTTTGGCAGCTTCTATTTTTTGTCATTTGTAACATTTATTTTGAACATACAAATACAAAGGTAACATATGAATGAATTTTCGATCGAAAATGTGTCGCATATTGAATGAATCTTCATTTCGCTTTTATTGCAAGTATGAGATTCATCTTTAATGTGGTTAATACAAATGCCGCAAAGTACTTGGTAATCATTCTTGAAGATCTGCGGTATACATATGTACATACTATATCTTCTTAGCCTTCTATCGTCCATGTTTGGACATGGGCCTCTCCCAACGCCTTCCATCGGTCTCTATTATGAGGAACATATTTCCAATTTGTTGCGGCTATTCTTTTAATGTCATGAACACATCTCATCTGTGATCTTCGTCTTGGTCGTTTACTTTCGTGAGGTCTCCAATGTTGTATTGTATGTAGTATTCCAACGTTGGTCTTTTTGTCTAGCAGTGTGGCCCGCGAAGCTCCATTTAAGTTTGGCAATTTTTGTTGTTATGTCCTCGACTTTTGTTTTTGATCTTACTCAGTCGTTCCTCTTTTTATCTGACAGTCGTAGGTATATCTAACATTGTTCTTTCCATTGTTATTTCTGTTGTGGCTAGTTTATTTATGTTTGCCTTGGTTAGGGTCCAGGTTTGACATCCATATGTCATGATAGGAAGGATGTATTGGTTGAACACTTTGCTCCTCAAGTATAGGGGTATTTTGCGGTTCTTAAGTATCCTACTCAGTGTTCCAAATCCTGCCCATGCCAGTCTTGTTCTTCTAGTAATTTCCGCACTTTGGTTCTCTTTGCAAAGTTTCAGGATTTAGCCTAGGTAGATATATTCCTGGACTTGTTTTATCTCACTGCCATTTACAGTTATACGTCTGGGATCATAATTTGCAGTTCCTCGAATGTGCTCGCTATAATCACTATGTCGTCAGCGAATCTGAGGTGGTTTAACTTGTTGCTATTAACGTTAATGCCATAGGTTGACCAATTTGTAGTTTTGAAGACGTCTTCAAGGGCTACGTTGAAGAGCTTTGGCGATATTACCTCTCCTTGTCTCACTCCTCTCTTAACGGGGATGGGATTTGTATTTTCATCTAGTTGTACTATCATAGTTGCATTTTCATATATTATGTATTAGTTGCCTATATCTCGAATCTATTCTACAATTATTAATAGCTTGTTCTATGACCCACATCTCGATACTATCAAACACCTTTTCATAGTCGACGAAGGCAAGAAATACGGGTAGTTGGTATTTTGTCCCCTTTTTGTGTAAGAGTATTACTAGACTCTCGTTCCAGTCTTTAGGGATCTTGCTATTATGGAGACATTTATTAAATAGCTCTGTTAGTACAGGGATTGTTAATGTCTTGCTTGTTTTCAAGAGCTCGGCAATTATACCATCGTGTCCTGGAGCTTTATTATTTTTTAGCTCTTTCAAAGTTTTTTCTATTTCGAATCCCTTTATATTTGGTAGTACTTCTGATCCCACGTTTTTTTTATTTTTCTTTTGACGTTCTCCTTTTGTTTCATTAGACTGGCTTTGCGAGCTGTACAAGCATGTGTAGAAGTCTTCGACAATATATGTTCTTCTTCCTTATTGTTGGCGTCTTTAATTTTGATGATTTTTTTAACTCCCAGTGCGGGTCTTAGACATTTTAAGCCTCTGTTGTTTTCAATGACCGCATATCTTCTATTCGAATTTGAACCTATTTTTCGAAATCGTCCCCATAAAAATTAATTAATTGCGTCCCCGCAATTTATTATTTTTAATGATTAGTAAAAAAAGATGTTATTGGACACCTCTCGGGGCAAAAAAATCTTAAAGTTGGACAATCAATATGAAAGTCAACAATCATATGATTTTGTTATGGTAATCTTCGGCGCTTTTCCTTAATTGTCTTAACACTTTTAAAATTATGTTAGTGTACCATTACAATGAATGTGACGAACGTCTGAAGAAATAGAATTACTTTGCAGAATAATGTTTCTGCACAGGCCGGGATACCTAATGTACCAGAAAATATATTGCTTCTCGTGTCCCTTTAGTAGGAGGTACGTACTTTACATGGGACACTAACAAAGGCGTTTATTTATTATGTTCAAACATACTTTAAGCTGGCATACTATCATGTCTTCGATTGAAGACTTTTTGGTCATTGTAAGTATAATAAAAATTAATTGTAATACAGTAGAACCTCCCTTAACCAAAACCTTCTTAATCGAAACATCGTTTAACCGAAACAGCTGACAATAATTTCGTCAATTAAAAGTAAATTTTTATCGCGAAATGTAAATTCCATTAATTTCACTTCCTAATGAGACTAACTAATTGAGAAAAAGCAGACGACGAAGATGACGACCCAACAGACAACAGGCAGCATAAGACCGCCGAAGAGATTTTCAATACCTTAAGGATAAGAATTTTATACACTAGGCCTAATTAGTTAGGGATACGACTAGGTTCTTAATTTTTGTTATCATTGTATAAAGTTTTGTCCTTTTCAGAATACTTTACGTTTCGTCGAACGATGAAATGAGGCAAACTCACGATGTTCTGCAAATGAACGATGGAGATATATAGCTGCAAAACATCGTTGTCAAACGATAACGTAAAAGAAAATAAAAGATTTCTTTAAAAAGCTTGTTCGTTTTTCTTCATTTTATTGCTTTATTCTGTCATTATTTATTAGAAAACGTTACGAAATCACCTCATAGTATTTTTTAATATCAATACTTTAACCAAGAATACTATAAAAAACAATGTTATTTTTAACCGAAATTCTTGTTATCCGAAACCCCCCCCCCCACAATTATTTCGGTTAACGGAGGTTTTACTGTATTTTGTTGTTCCTTAGCGTAGTCAGTAGTTAAAAACATGATTTAAATTATGTACTTACCTGCTATTTAAATGTGGTACTGGTACATCAATTGTAATAGATCTAAACTGGTAAAGACTGTAGATAACTAGTGCCCATAGAACTCCGAATGTAATAATTTTCGTAAAGAAGCGCCCCTTTCCATTGCGGGTGCACATTGAGCAAATCATCATTAACCTTGAGTATCTGTAAAAATAAAAGAATTTTATATTTCAATTCAGTCCAAGAATATTTTGCAATTTGATTAGTATTCTATACATCATGTTAATGGTATTGGTAACGTTACTAACGTTTCGATTGAATAACATCGTTCGTAAACAAATTATACATTGAAACTAAATATATAATTTGTTTACCAACGAATAGAATACATACACTGACAACTTATCTAAATGAAACCTTATTCATTTGAAATAATTGGTAGATTAGACCGATATTGGATGAAAATCCGCTTTATAAATAAAACAAAAATTGTTTTCTAAATCTTCAATTTATTTAGATACTAATTCATGGCAGTTCTTTAACCTCTACTACTTACTATAAATTTGGTTATTAGGTTTTATTATTATTTTGTTAAAATAAACCAACAAAATATATTGCACTTATTTTGTATATATAGAACTAACGAAAAAAATGGTAATTAGACCACGCCTTCGAATAAGCCTTAATTCTTTTGGACGGTTAATCACTCCCACACAAGGAATTCAAAATAAAAATTAAATAACCCAACTCATGTATATAATTGTCTGATTTATTTAAAAAACAAATGTAAAGAAAATAAAATAGTCTAAAGCACGCTTATTACAGTTACGTTTGTACCATGTATAGATTTAGTTATCATTATTTTAACTTAATTCACAAACTGTCGTTCAACGTCAAACCTCATATGACATCAAGTGATCTATTTTAAATATTTAATAAAGTTCCATTGGTGTTTGTGCTGAAGCAGTACCTTAGATAATGAAATTACTTTATTTATACATGTATCGAATCATAAACCCAACAAAACTGTGAAACGTAGGTATAGAAGCATATACAAGAAAAAACTGAACAAAACTATAGAAGGCATAGGGTAAATTAATAAAGAAGGTGTAACTAAATTAATACAAAAGACGTATCTGTACATAAACGTTTCATGTTTATTTGGGCAAAAAATGATTAATGATAGTAGTTTTAAAAATGACAACTAAATCTAAAAGTCAAGAGCATGAAAGATCACATACTTTGAATATTAATGCTGATCAAGTTATCATTGCGCCAATACTCAGACATCAATTTTTTCTCATCTACAGAGGTTCAAACTTTGAATTTTTTCAAATAATTCAGTAGCAACATTACTACTTTTCATATATTGCACAATTTCTTTGCATCTGACTATGAAATAATTAATAGGATTTATTTTAACACTATCTTAAACGACTAAATGAATCGACTGGTCAAAGCCGAAAAGATGCTTTTTCTTTAAAATTCACAAGCTTTCTTCAGATTAGCTGCATTGTATGTAACATTACATGATATTTTGTTTTCTACATTCCATTCCGAGAAATTATCAGTTAGAGCCAATGAAATATCATCTGCTGTGTGGTTAATACCCATTTTTAAAGGGTTCGTAAACAAAACAGCAGAGTGTAATTTAAAATTATTGGTCACAAAATAACATGTTACTATCAAGTATGATTCTTTTGCACTTAAAGTCCAGGAGTCGAAAGTGATAGCCACATAATTTACATAATATATATTATATGTTTAAGATTTTCACAACTTTCATCAAACATTTTTGTCAAGCTTTCTCTGATCGTAAATTTATTCGACAATATTGGGCATATCATATTTAAAATATAATAGATTAATAAAAATGTTAAAGCGGGTATCATTGACTATATTGAAGGATTGAAAATCAGTGGCAATCATCATTGGCAATGTTTTATAAAGTTGATTTTTTCTTAGTGAATTCTCAGTTAATTTAATTTTCCTTTTGAAAAGGGACCTATGGATCTAGTCGAGGATCGAGCACTTGAGAATGCAGAAGTGCTGTTTGATGTGTCTACGTCTTTACCTATGCTAGGGTGAAATATTTATAAAAGATCCCTCAAATTTGACGTATTGCCACTTGTTCTATACTCTACCTCAAGTAAGATATTTCGCAAACTGTTTGTAACTTGATTTCTTAAAAAAAATCCACACTTTTGAAACTTGCCGTTTCTAATCTTTGCCAAGTTTATCTGTTGTAGGGGAAACAGTCAGAGTAGTCTCAGTGAGACAAACTCTTCTTTCCACCTGTTTGTCTCCACCAGTACGATCACAGTTATATTGAACTGTTTCATCATTTTCATTAGCATCAGTTTCAGAAGATGACTTTCCTAAAAATAAACAGGGATTGATAATAATAAATTAATTTTGCAAATAACTATTACAAAATTATAAAACAAGGATATCAAAATCTAAAATGTTTTATTTAGGTAAAAGTTGCTTACATTTAGTTAGTTTGGAGCGAACACGATTTAAATACTTGTCCATTCTCATGCCACTAATGCTTTAAAATATTACTATTAAACTTTTCCTCTTCTTCTTCTTCTTTTTTTTCTCACTTCTGTGGTGAAGTGACAACTGACAAGGTTGGATATGGGCGTTGTCCAATTCCGTAAAATTTCTCTATCCATCAATCCACTTTCATCGAAAATTTATACTTTCAAATAGTAATGATTGACTACCTAAAACTATCGATAGTAATTTGTAACTATCGATAGTAATTTGTAACTATCGATAGCGTATCTATAGTCATCACCACAGAATACTAAACAATCAGAATGCCCACTCTGCTTAAACAAATAAGTATGCACATCTCGTTCGCGCAGACGTAATCAGCCATGTTTTAAACGGAACCAGTGCTGTGCAGTGACCTTTTTTCTGGTGTGCATAAACAAATTAACCTGGTTTAATTTATTTACGGGAACTAGACATAATATGCACTATTTTATTCGTACTTTTAGTTGAAGAATAGATTAAATTATTTCAAATGTACTAAATTATTAATCTCTAAAAATTTAAATGACAGTTCTGTTGTAGCTTGTCTGACAAACTTCAAAGGCGGCATCTGAGAGTGGGCATTCTGATTGTTTATTATTCTGTGTCAATACTATCGACAGTTTTCGACAATGCTATCGATAGTTCTCCACCACTAGTTCAATGTGTCGGTTTTATGACAGTAATAAATAATGACATTTTGCTATATAATCGTGTGTCCGCAAATGCTTCCTATTCCGAAATAAAGGGTGTTAAAATTTTTCTGACAAACTAAAGATTTATTTATTGCCCTGCAACGGGTTGTGATATGCAAATGAAATTTAATGGGTTTTAAGAAGCAGTTATTTTACATTTTTTGGCATGCAATTAGAAATTTTGTATTCATCATTTTCGTGCATACTAGTAATGGACATTTTTGAATTCTTCTTTTAATTTGTGACAAAGTTTCTTTTCTCCTTTTTTATATGAGGCTCCGTTATATAACTATCTGATATAATAACATTAATCCAGAATAACAGCTACAAAAAATGTTCAAAATTCCCTCATTGAAACGTTACACAAGTTGCAACTCTTAGTCTAATTGGTTGTCGTATGCTTGCAAATATTTCAGTTAAATTGGCTGAAACTTTGCAGATATGTAGATTTGGTCATGTTTATCAAAAGTTTTCAGTATCCTAAGACTCTCAGAAATCAATTGTTTCTGAGTTATAGAGCTTCAAAGTGTCAGTTTTTAGTCAAATTTTCAAAATCGTGGATTTCGAAACGTTCCGTCCCAAACATTTAATATACGGCATCTGAATCTTAATAAACACAAATAAGAACGAATCAAAATGACATTTCTTAATGTTTCCATCAAAAACAAAGTGAGATGTCCTGGATAGAATATCAACGTGGATATCCGGAAGGAACATCCCGGTACCCACTTTTAAAAATTGTTTATTTTCAAAAATGGACTAAAAACCCACACTTTAAAGCTCTATAACTCAAAAACAATTGATTTCTGAGTTTTGTGACACCCAGAACTTTTGATCAACCTGACCGAAGCTACCTCTCTGCAAAGCTTCAGCCACTTCAGCCAGCTGAAACCACTGTTATATAAGTAAATAAATATACCATGAATACCTGCACGACTACGACAACTACTAAGGCTAAGAGTTAAATCTTGTCACTACTATTTTAATTGAAATAGCCACAGCTGAAGTTTAAAATAAGTTTATTGACGTTTCAATTTCCACTTCGGAAATCGTTCTAAAAGCATTATTTATGTTTGCATTTTGAGAACGATTTCCGAAGTGGAAATTGAAACGTTAATGAACTTATTTTAAACTTCAATTGTCTCTTATCCCATTAAAATAGTAAATACTTTAAGATGCCATAAGAAAATAGCTTCAGAACAATATCTTGTGTCACGTTTCACGGAAGTCATTTTGAACATTTTTTGTAGCTTGATCCCTATTTAAAATTTTATTAGTGGTACTTTCTGTTATTGTTCTTGTTTATTGTTGTTGTATCCGATAGTTCTTGAGAATGTATTAATGCCATGAAAAATACGCGTTAAGATGGTTTATTTTTATTGCACAAAAACGAAGCCTCATATAGGGAAAAAAGAAGAAAAAAAAAATCAGTGGCGTGTCATTTTTTTCTTTAAAAAAAATTCCTTATTGTGCGATAAAACATTTGCAATGACCAACTCTTAAAGTCCAATAAATTTCATTTGTATATCTTTACTGGTTTCGGGGCAATAAAGAAATCGTTAGTTTGTAAGAAAAATTTCAATTAACTCAGAAACAACTAATTTCTGCGTCTTGGCACAATGATAACATTTAATCAGACCAGCACTTTTCATAAAAAAAGTACCGGGGTCCTTTCTGCATTTTGGATTTTGATGTGGATACAAGAGTGAAAACATAATTTCATTGTATCAATTATTCAACATTCAAATAAGAGTAAGCCAGAGATCTAACAACTGAAGATTGCTTCGACAGAAAACGCTGGAAATTAGGATGCGAGAAGCGGCGCCAGCTGTAGAAGACTCGCTTGTTATATATAAATAAGAGTAACAAAATATTTAGTGTACAAAACTTACTTCCAAAGTAGGAAAGTCGCAGTGTTCTACAGCAACTAGACTGGTAGTCACATACGTATGTAGCCAAGATAATGTGTCTGACAGATAAAAGATAAATAAAATTTAAGGTAAAATTGGATGGACGTAGGATGAGCTGCTGACAATTTATTTCTCGTCTCTTGTTTAAAAAAAGTAATATTGTGTAAGCAAAGCAGTGAATAAGTCATCTAACTTATTCATTCCTCTGGTTATAAATCATTTCAATTTCAACTTTAATTTAAAATTTGGCCTTTAAATATCTATGTAAGTACATATTTAAGTAATAAAGAGCAGGACGTACTTCACTAATACATTTTCATTATCAAACATTTTAAAATACTATTAGTTTTGTATGTGTGCAATAAAGGCCTAACCTGTACA